TTACAATTCGACTGGGCTTTGTAATCATTTATTTAAACCAGAGTAGCGAGCGAAACATGATTGATATACCTGGTTGCAGTGAACGAACAAACTTCATAGGGAATATTCTAACAAAATTGAAAATTACACTAACTCTACTTTCACTAGATAGCCCAATCAGTTCTGGGCTGTTCTCCAGTGCAATGAAGAAATCTAAACTAACTTTAGCTCTGTCAGTTATAAAATGGCCGTCCCTTCGTTCAACGGAGGAAAACGGGGAGTCAATCTGGAAGCACCCTTTCGAATGCAGCTAACTTGGGGAAGAGGTTATTTCGCTGGCCTCAGAATAACAAAACGTAACAAAGCAACGGTTTTACTAACACTAACCCTATTCCAAACCCCAACTCTAACGGTCTAAACCTGATCCTAACCCCCACCCTAACCTTGCTCCAAGTTTGTTTCTAAACTTATCTTGAAGAAAAAAGTTTTAACGAAATGTCATTTTGAGGTCAGCGAAATAGCTTCTTCCGCTATACTTAGGTGCAATTAGAACCACCAAACTGCGCATTCCAGAAATTGAAAATCAATCACAGAGAAGGTCAGTTTTTCACTTACTGTTCTAATATTCCAACGGAGGAATTATTCCTTCGTCAACTTCGACACATTCGCCATGTGAATTGACATCGCTTGGATCACGAATATCACAACGAAGACCTTGGTCGCATCTGCCCATCATGTCATATGGCCCACCGCAAACATCGCCAGCAACCTTCGCGCAGACATCGCAACATCCACACATATCAGTGACTGTCCCGCCTTTGCACTTCAGATCTTTCACGGGAGTACATGTGGGGCCACATTCGCAGCTCAATGACTGTGTGCCAGCAGTCAAGAACACTACCGCCAAACTGAACAACAAAATCTTATCCATTTTTAAAAGGTAAAGACAATTTTATCAATCTCTGTTCAAACGCAAAACTAAAGACAAAGTGACAATGTATACTTCGCGCAAAGCGTGCTTATATATAGCATTTGAAATCTTTATGACTGTAAACATAATTTACATGGAAATAATATTTTATTTTGCCGACTTAATTAGATTTGGATAGCTTATATACTTTACTGAATCAAATGTTAAATTTAATTACAATTCTTGGGAAGAATGATTATCATGCTGACATAATTTATATAGAATTGCAAGGCAACGATTATTCCACTACTTTGTTTAAAAACCACGGCTTGGCAATGATTTTTAAAAAATATATATAAAAGAAACAGGTTCGAACGAATAATTAAGTCATCTTGAAATTCAATATATATGCATATTAAAACAAAACGAGTTTTTGATACTTATTTGCCGACTTTATTGGACTTGTTTATCAACAATTTATCAAAATCAAATATTGTAATCTGAGCGCGTGAATTAGACTAATTGTTTGATTTCAAATTGATAAACCGAAATTAAATGGAATGAACAAAATCGATAGGTTTATTTAGTTTTACAGTCGAATGTCTTCTTGCGGACGCGTCTCAAATACGAACATCTCTCTAATATAAGAACATCTCTCTAATACGAACACCTCTAATATAAGAACATCTCTCCAATACGAACATCTCTAATATGGACATCTCTCTAATACGAACACCTCTCTAATATAAGAACATCTCTCTAATACGAGCACCTCTCTAATACCCAATACAGAATATTTCAATTGTCACTCGTCAAATAACTTTGCCTTTCATGATGAAGTGTTTCTAAAATGTAGTTATTCTGAAAGAGCACTTCTAGGTTCTTAGGGTCATGACAAAGCCGGACTTAAAAAACAGTCGGCAGAAAAATTATGAAATTTCTACATGAAATGATGCCGATTTTTCTTAACGAGTCAGAGAATTTCCGCGTGGGGGCCTAGAGCATACAAGACTGGCTTCAATTTCCGCCCCTCGGTGGATCAAGGTCAAAATTTGAAAATTGTGGAATTGAAAAGGTGATAATCTTTCATCTCTGTGTCAACTACCCTTTTGGTGCAAAACTTTATAGTCATACAGTAATGAAACATAATCCATAAATATAATATATTAATATCGATGTACTATTTATACAACTCGAACACGAGTGCTTTATCAGATATAAAACTCGAGGCGACAGCCTCAACTTCGGAATATATGTTCTTATGTCTTGCCATACCAATATGCTATTTCAACAACTTGTCGACAGGATAGGTTCGCACTGCTTGTTGACAAGTTGTCAACGGCTTGTTGACAACGTCATGCTACAAGATTGTCGAGCCCAACAGACTTATTACAAGTTGTTCCAACAACTTGTTAAGGCCCTGTCACACTATTGCGTATGAGAGAAACGTATGAGAAGCGTATGAAAATTAATGAAATAATTTTCATACGCACAAAAATCCTTTGAAATGCCAGCGTATGAGTACCGTACATCTGGCGTACCTCTAGCGTATTCAGCGTGTGCCTAGAGTATGCTTATCGTATAAAGCATACGTCCGATACGCACAAAATTTTTGAACATGCTTAAAAAATTTTTTTCTGGCTCGCCGTATGCCAGCGTATGTCACCGTATGCGACCGTGCTTGAAACGTATACAACCTACGCCTAACTTACCCCTAGCGTATGTCAGCGTATACCGGCGTATGAGTGATATTTTTCATACGCTGGAATACGCTAGTATGATACGCAATAGTGTGACAGGGCCTTTATCGTCCTGCGATTCAACAATTTGTCAACAACTTGTGAGTGACAACCTTGCAGCAACTTGATCAAATAACAACATGGTTACAACTTTGTTGACAAGCTTGCTACGATTACAAACCAGTTGCATACAATATTAACTAACTATTATATAGTTGTGATTATATATATATTATATATATTAATATAAAATCCACTGTCGAATAGTGGAGATTGTCAAAACTCACAGATGTTCGTAATAGCCGTACGTCAAGTTGTAATTCCTGAAGCAAGCGAAATGAAGATCTTTTCTCTTGTACGGTGCGAAGCTTTTCTCGAACGTTCGCAAAGAATTGCCACATGGAGCAATCTATTAAAAATAATTTTGTCAAAGATTGACAGGGTGACATCAAAATTTTTCCAAAAATGTTTCTAGAAATATAGAAATATTGTCTCAAATACTCACAGAATTTCCAAACAACGTCATGATAAACCTCCCTGGTTTAAAGATTTTCAGAACTTTTTCGATCAATTCTTTGAGCGAGTCCTGTGTGGTCAAAGAGACTAATTAGCCTTTCTCCTGCTATGCGAGCAGGCCGCCATTTTTGGCTGATACACAACGCCCCCAGGGTCTAACTGTAGCCAGGATTTCAGATATGGTGTATCGAAAGAATGTACGACATGATTAAACTTTAGACTGCAGAAAATTGCACAAGCAGTTATCAAGTTAGCCAGTTAGCCAGGGTGGGTATTTACTTTTTAATTGATATTATAATTTATGATAATAATAGTTTTTATTTTAATACTTCTAAACATTTCTCTTCGTTGCTACCCCCCTCATGCGTAAATAATGACCGCGCCCGGCTAGTCCCAGTCGTTCTGAAGCAAGCGCGAGAAAAAAAGTGGATGTAGTACGAGACTGGGACCTAGGTGTGACGTCACCGCTCAAGGTGCTTCAGAACGCCTAGCAGATTTCAGTATTTTAATATGGCGGAAAATTTATATATACAAGTAACCTTTTAATTATAAATACGACAATGTTCGTTCATCATGTACATGTTCGATGTCTACATAACCAAATCAAACTGTATTAAAATGTGCTCAACTAAAAAAATTTATATACAAATTTACGATACTGAGTTTGAGCAATCGTTGATGTTATTTATATACTCGCAAGTTGTGATCAACACTAGACCATACTGGTATACACAACTACGCTTTCTACTTGACAGGGTTAAATTGCTGAGGAGATTGGAAATATTTGCCTGACATGACGGTGTTGTCAAAACATTTTTAGTCGGAGACTCGGCATAATTTTCAAGCTTCTAGATAGCATTTAATATGTATAGGTTATTTTGAGGCAACGAGGGGATATGTGATTTATTCACCGAGGCGCGCAGCGCCGAGGTGAATAAACACATATCCCCGAGGTGCCTCAAAATAACGTACTTATTTTTCACACTGCGAGGTCGCGTTAATGAGTCAGAAAAGAAATAATTCTCAATGCCGTATTGCTTTTGCGATGTTGTTTTTTCTCATTTTTTGTGCTGCAAAGACATTGCAGGTGAATATTAGAGGGGATTATTCGATGTTGTTTTTTCTCATTTTTTGTGCTGCAAAGACCATTGCAGGTGAATATTAGAGGGGATTATTAATTGCAGGTGAATATTAGAGGGGATTATTAAACGGAAATTGAATAGAGTGGAATATTGAAGATATTCCCCGATAAGAACAAAGGAAACCGAGCAGGGTGAAAAACGGAAATTGAATAGAGTGGAATATTGAAGATATTCCCCGATAAGAACAAAGGAAACCGAGCAGGGTGAAAAATAAGGCTATATATTTTAGTAAACACGAGTCATATTTAGCCTGTTATTCCATTCTGACCGTATGGCAGCGAAACGTAGCCTACTTCATTGTTCCGACAGCATTAGAGCAAAACTAATGACTTAATTATAAATGCAAAGGAAATTTCCATAACATTTCCATTTACAAATGAGGTATGCTTGGTAACCAGGCCAGGGACCACTTTTTTGAAATCAGGGACCATTTTACCGAAATCTGCTAGGCTCTCTCGCTGATGCGTTCCGCACAGCACACCCAGGCATAAAACTTTTAAGACTTATTTAAATATATCGAAGCAGCGAATAAAGAGAGAGAGCCTGGGACTAGGCTGGACCGCGCCCTAAATAGGGAGAAAATTCTGTCCGTTGTAAGTTGCAACACTCTAATTTACGAACTTCCATGGCTGTACATAAATAATGAAGCCGCGTTCGTTTTAGCTTGCTGCGGTAACACGGGCTTTTTTAGCTATAGACTAAAAGACTATCTATAGACTCTCACTTACAAACTTGACATTTGTCTCAAAACTTGCATAAGAAAATTCCTCTTGTGGCGTTACGTGAATGGTAAAATATGAATCCTAATGTAAGAAAAATATGTACACTGTAACACATGAGTGAAAAAAAAAACATTTAGGGGCGGACCATTAAAAAAGTGATGGGGGGGGGGAGCAAAAAATCGCGCAGGGGAAACAGAAAGAAAGAAAATTTGCACACCCAGAAAAATTCGTGCAAGGGATTATATTTTTAAAAAATTATCGACCGAAGCAAAAAAACTCGTACAAGTTAAAAAAGTCGCCCCCCCCCCCATCACTTTTCTAATGGTCGACCCCTTGATAATACTACAATGGCGATTGCTGTCTGGACTGTCTAAAAAAGGGGCGTAAGGAAATTGAATGACACACAATGCTTGTGTGAAAGATCGTTCACGAAAATGAATTTAGTTAAGACAAGGCTATAAGATCCTCGCTAACGGAGGGAGGAATCATTGATGATTATGCTACTCTGTTACAGTTCAATCATGTTTTGCGTATCGTGCATGTTTGCACTTGGCTGAAAATATATCTTAACTATGGTTCCCAACCAGGGCAGGAAAAAAAATGTTTTCTTCCTGGGAGAACAACCTGGAGACAAAAATTACCTGCAGACCAACAGAGTATTTTTGTGCTAAATCTGCATGTGCATAAACATATGGTGTTCTAGCTGACCATGGTTTTAAATTCAAGGAATAGTGTCTGTCAACCATACAATATTGTTGCGCCCATAGTGGGACATGGGTGTTAAGGTTTCCTTCAAATTTTCAATTATAGCAAATCTTCATTCAAATGAATTTCCTGCAGCTGTTTAACATTTCATGCGCGCAGTGCTGCCGTGCTCGCCTATTTTTCCACCCCTGTTCCCAACTTACCTGGAACTAATTACTAATTATGCTTCCCAAAAATAAAACCTGTTCCACTGCCACTGGTTGTAGAATACAAGAAAGTCGGTCCCAGATCGTCCAAACCCCCTCCCCCAGCAACTTGCTGAATGGGCGCCCCCGATTGAAGCTGTCAGTCTGTCCCTGTTAATCGACCCTCACGTTTGAGATGTTATTCAAACTACCCCTGACTATCTCAGAAAGAATGTATCTTTTCAATACAATTTTGTTCAATGTAGCGATTCATAATTCATCATTGATTGTCAGGAAGAATAAAATGAAGTAACTTAATAGAAGAAGGTGTAAAGGTTCTGGCCAGTTCTGTAGGACAGAGGGGTAGCCAGGGAGGGGGCGGGGGGATGAGGCCCCCACTTCCCTTTAGGACCACCTTTAAAAGATGTTTAAATCTGTTGAGAAATACTGGAGGGGGGGTGCACAATTTTACGTCCATCATAGAGCATAGCTAAGGTAGAAGGGTAGTTTTTAGCAAGGACCGCAAAAATAAACACAATCTATACCTTCAAAATGCCATTAGCAGAATAACCACAAGGTTCAAATATGTAGTCATCAATTGTTGTGCCAGGAATTAGATCGTTTATACCAACACTCTGGAACCATTTTGAACAAGAATATATAGTGGATTAAGTGTTTTGATTTTCCCAAAAATTTTGACAAATGAATGTAATGCATGGGAAACGGATATATCTGAATTAATTTTGTGAATAATTTGTGATATTAATCACTATGGTTTTGATTGAAAAAATTAATAAACTGGCATGTGCGTTATGCAGTGTATGATTGTTTATTGCGCAAAAAGTCAAGCACAGCAAACAAAGTACAACTTACAGGTTTACTGTAAGTTAAGGGAAGAGATAAATGGAAAGTATACGGCAGGTTTTTGGCCCTTGTTAAAGTGGCTGAACAATGTGCCTAATATAAGTACTGGTTTGTGGAAACACGATGTATATTAAATTTTATTAAAGCAAAGCTTTCAATTCTTAAGTACGGATCTTCATCAGTGCTAATAATATATGATGAACATCTGGATTTACAGATCAAAAGCTTTGCAAAAATAAATATACTGTATGTGGTGTTTACACAAACCATGCAGAACTCACTGTATATTGTTATAATTCCTCATACAAAACTACAAAGAACTAACCCTAACTATTCCACCGTGGCCAGGCATATTTTTCAAGCTTGTCCGGTGTGGATATACACTCAGAGTAACATCACAAACATCTTATACACCTGAGTACATTACACCAACACAGAAATTAAAGAGTTGTACATAACATATTCAGTCATGTTGAGAAGTTAAAGAATATGTTTTCATGCTGCAGGAAATATGATGATGTTCCAAAAAATAGAATATTTTCCCCACCCTCTGTGAAGAAGAGTACTAATTTTAGACTTACTTTAGTGAGTTCCTTGGCATCTTGATAGTAACCTTTATAATATTGTTTCAAAATACTGGGGTCAAGATCATTCATTAAAATCTGAATAACATGTTAAGAAAGTTTATCCAAACTGCAATTTTTCCTGGAGGAAAACATGCTCGGACAAAACTAAATAACTTTAAAAAATCTGTTCTTTATTGTTCTTTATTAAAAATATCAGATAAAGATCGGCTGCTCATATGTTTTAACTAGTACTTAGCTGGAATTCAATATATCCTTTTCAATAATAGTAATAATCATGTATGATTCAAGTCAGAACATTCTCAATAATGGCTCAGTGCTTTGGCAATTGCAGAGTGCCAAAGCAGATTACAAAGGACTTTTTTAAAGTTGTAACTGTAAATTTACCATAATTATTATACATGTAACTATAGTTAAAAATGTTGCATTTCGCGGTGCATACACTCTCAGACTTGGGAAAGGCAGCACCCTAAAATTGGCGGGTGTGAGAAAGGCTAAACACCATATATGTAATAACTAATACTGTATTTTCATGAGGATACTTCAAGGGTCTGATCAGGTATTTTCAATCCATCAGTAGAGTTGTCAGTAGTGAACAAATGCCAGCAATGGTCACTATTTAATCTGCCCAGTGTGTACGCACCACCACCTACAGTAAAAATATACAACTGACTTTTTCATTCCAAATTTTTATTTAGGTAAAGAAATAAGAGCCCTCCCATCTAAAAGACTTAAAAATTATAAACATATTTTCTAACATGATTCTGTACCTGGAAAAAAGTCATCTAAGACATCAACCTATATAAAATGCATAAAAATTAGGACAGTATTATTCAGTGCAAGTCTTCAAAACCTGATGAAAACTAACCTCTTGCTGAAACGTTTGGTGGGGTGCTTGTTGTAGATGTGGTTGTATGAAACCTTTTCGAGAATAAAACATATCCTATAAAATGTAAGAAAAAAATTCATTAGGGTCTAAAACTTAAATTTTTTTCAGTACATCACCAGAGGTGGATCTAGCCTCGCCTGCAAGGAGTCGAAGTGTGCACAGGTTTTCCATGGCAGGGTTCATAGTCTCCAAGACCAAAAATATTCAAAGACTTTCAAAGATTTTTTCTGTCTACTTTCAAAGCTTGTCAAAGACCTTTGAGAGCAATCAGCTGACGAAAAATTGCGACTGTAAGCACCATATTTACCTGGTAATTATTACCGTCAAACGGCTTCCTAAAATGCACATTTTCGTCGATATTTGCGAAAATATTGTAAGAAAACACCTTGCTTTCAATTTGCATTTAATATCATACTTACCGAATGCTAGCCTATGCTCAGCCCAAAATTGAGCGAACTTGGCAAAGCCAGCCAATGAGTTAAAGGCCTATGTGGGATTGGCTTATCCTTATCAGATATTAGTGACAAACAGTGATTGAGTTTACCTTCACTTCAGTCAAGCCACATTCCTCCTCAACGACCTTCGTAAGTTGTATTGCTGCTCGGAGCAGGGGGGTCGTGCCACATGTCTTGAGGATAATTCGATCCCGTGATATGTACATACTACTTTCACTAGCAATAAAATAGCATGACATAGTGAGGCTGTGTACTGACTGTATTATGCTGTAATACAGTCTGTGAAAACTTGTGACATTGCTTGTCAACCCCCAGCTGTGCTACCCAGATCTGGGTAGTCGATTCTGATTGGTCATGACTGAACGTAATGGATTCTGATTGGCTGGACTTAAATATGAACAAACGTTGGACTTTGATTTTTAAAATAGAAACAATATTTTCTGGACACTTGATGTTCATTGTAAATTTTAATGCTCTCAATGCTTCAAACTACTAAATTTTCGATGCAAAAATGTTTCTGATATACTGCAGCGTAATATGATATCCTATTGAACAAATGAAATCAGCAAGGGAGGTTGAAAATAACGGCAATTCCTGTGTGTGATGCGACTTGTTATTCAAGGCCAGAACTTTGTTCTCCTTTGAACTCAGCCAATCAGGTTTTTCCCATGTTATTGGGTATTTTATATTTTCTGTTGCGCTATCACTGGTTATCTAATATCTCAATGTCTTAGAATGTTTGTGTCATATAAGCACTTTAATATAGTATGTACCTCAATAAATAAGCCGTCATGTGTTCATTTTTTATCTCACTGATGATTTTACAACCTGCTATATCCAAAATTTTCTCCATTTTCTCTCTATATAAAATTTAACGTAATTTATGGGGTTTTTTTATATAAGCTTTATTAAGATATTTGCCCCAAAAGCCAGGGCTTATCAGGGGGGCTCACTTTTTATATAAGCTTTATTAAGATATTTGCCCCAAAAGCCAGGGCTTATCAGGGGGGCTCACATTAAACCAGGGCTTATCAGGGGGGCTCACATTAAACCAGGGCTTATCAGGGCTTAACAACTTGTAACAAGATTGATGGCATTATCAGACTTGCTACAAGGTTGTTCTGACAAGTCTGATACAGTCGTGATATAACAAGAATGTTACAACGTTGACTGAACAAGGTTGCAACAATATTGTTATATCATAACTGTACCGGACTTATTGGAACAACTTTGCAACAAGTCTTATAATATCAACAAGATTGTTACAAATTGTTTATAACAGCTTGTTCCAAACTTGTTGACAACTTGGGACAAGCAGTGCGAACACAACTTGTTCACGGCTTGTTGGCAGACTTGCTACAAGATGTGTGATTTTTACGCCTGTAAAGAAAAATGTCCGCATGTGGGCCAGTTACGTTTCTAATTTGGAATATTGGGCGTGGAAGTTCCAAATTTAGAAACATTATTGAAAAATTATATTCACAAAAAAAACTTGGATCACGCTTTGAAAGTGACCTGAAATTTTTATAATGAACAGCGCCATAATTTCGTGTTAAAATATTGCCTTGTGTGCCATACTACATTATTAATAATTAACTATTGCACAATGTTGTGGTCAATGCAAACAGACAAAAAATGCGAAAAATCCATCAAAACAAACGACCAATATTTAACCATTTTGCCCTTCCAAAAGCACACAGACATTCAAATTTAATATTAAACCATTTAAATTCTCCTAAATAGTCTTGGAAAGTGAAACATTTGCGGTTAAACCTACCGAGGTATACGTCTCAAATCGGCGTCGTTCATAGCTGGTCCTGTCAGCTTGGATGGCGAATCCCACCAAATCTCCATAAGTTTTTCAGAGCCTTCGAAGAAATGCACATCTCCTGACATTTCGGTAGTTCCTTATGCATGTGTTTTCCCTTCTTTGTGGCCAGTTATTTAAGGCAAAATATATACAAAATCACCGTTATATAAAAACAACAAATACTGCATCGGAGTTGGAATGTTTTAGTTCGCGACTCCGCGTGTCCGCGTGTTACCTATTAATTAAAAATAACATACTTCAAAAGACGAATGCACGTGGGGCCCACGTGGACCCCTGCGCCACACGCAAAAATCTCACATCAACAAGTTTGCCAACAAGTTGTCTTCGCACTGCTTGTCCCAAGTTGTCAACAAGTTTGGAACAAGCTTAAGCTGTTAACAATTTGTAACAACCTTGTTGATATTACCAGGCTTGTTACAAGGTTGTTCCAACAAGTCCGATACAGCAGTATTGTTACAACCTTGTGTCGTCAACCTTGTAACATTCTTGTTTATCATGACTGTATCAGACTTGTTAGAAAAACCTTGTAACAAGTCTGATAATGCCATCAAGCTTGTTACAAGTTGTTAAGAGCTTGTTTCAAACTTGTTACAAGTTTACAACAACTGGGAACAAGCAATGCGAACACAACTTGTCGACAGCTTGTGAACAGATTTGTAACAAGTCTGCAAGTAAGCTGTCACAAGTCTGTTCACAAGCTGTCAACAAGTTGTGTTCGCACTGCTTGTTCCCAGTTTGTAACAAGTTTGAAACAAGCTCTTAACAACTTGTAACAAGCTTGATGGCATTATCAGACTTGTTACAAGACTGCGCTAACAAGTTTGTTACAGCCATGATATAACAAGGATGTTACAAGGTTGTCAACACAAGGTTGTAGCATTCTTGTTATATCAAGCATGTAACGTACTTGTCAGAACAACCTTGCAACAAGTCTGATAATTTCGACAAGGTTGTTACAAGTTGTTCCAAACCTGTTGACAACTTGTGACAAGCAGTACGAATACATCTTGTTGGCAGCTTGCGAACCGATTTGTAACAACTTGTTTGCAGACTTGTGCGTTTTTACGTGTGTAACCTCAGAACCTGTAGCAAACGTGTAGCAATGAGCGCTGTTCGAACAACTTGTCACCAGGATGTGTTCGCACTGCTTGTTCCCAGCTTGTTGACAACTTGCTACAAGGTTGTTGAGCTCAACATACTTGTTGCAAAACATGCGAGTCGCACACGAGTAAAACGAATACATTGAAGCTAATATTTTAACATTTTTACAGCTCGAACGGGCAAATTAAACCGAGGCAGATTTTTCATATTCTTAATGTATCCAAATTAACGGAAACTGAAACAATCCCCTGCGGCCTCTTGTCTTTGCGACGTCGAGCGTGGGCGGAGATGAGACCCTCGCTTATGGAGGACAATTGCATAATTATACAAACGACTTCAACATTTCTTAGACCATCAATCTCAAACTCACTAACAATTCACGAGTAAATTAGCCAACCATATTGTTTCAGATTTTGCTCACATGATAATACTGGATACCTGGTTAAGTATATTGAACCAGTCCTAGGACTGGATCAAAGTTAATTCAGTCCTTGGACTGGATCATTAGACAACTTGCATGTTAGACAAATTTTTGATTTAGGCAACAAAAAAAGGAAATTCCCGTAAAGAACTTATTAAAATTAGTAAAATTGCAAAATTTGGTTGCGAAATGTTGTAAAGTTTGGAAAATATAGCCTTGCAAAGTTTCCATATTTTCAGTATATTTGTATTACGTGCGGAAATTGTTACCATTCTTGAGCCGAAAATGGTAACAATTTCCGCACGTAATACAAATATACTGAAAATATGCAAACTTTGCAAGGCTATATTTTCTGTATTTTACAACAATTCGCAACCAAATTTTGCAATTTTACTAATTTCACTATGTTCTTTTTAGCTGTGGTGTTCGATTCCCTTCTCTTTGCTTAGATGAAAATTTAGTCTAACATGCAAGTTGTCCATTCATCTCACTGTAAGTAGTGATTTATTCGTACAAGATGTCATTTCAAATCCAGTTCTCATAGTCGGATTTGAAATATTACGACCAATCGTGTTTCAACTTGTTTTGAATACCTTGCGCTCAAGGCTGGATTTTGGTGGAAATAGTGGGGGAGGTGGAAAAAAAATTAGGGGAGGTGCAGCCAGGGCTCGAATTTTATCGCGGCAATTGCCGTAGAGGGAGAACAGAATGCCGTGGATCATTGCGGCAACGACGGCAATTTCTTGCCGTATAGTGTAATTTTTATAGCCTACTAATCACTGTGCATTACTAGTTTGATACTTGAATTCAGATGTTGATCAAATCATGCGTAAATCACTATTTTAGTCAGTTTTCTTCGAAAAAAAACAACACACTAAAGAAATACGTAGACATCAGGGTCTTAGCTGGGATTTTAGATCTTGGGCGTGTTTCTAAATAACCAGGGTGTGCACATGTCAATTACCTTGCATATCCAAATTCACGGTTCTGACAATGCCTGTGGTTGTTCTATGCTTTGCAACCAAATACAAGGCGAGCATATACACGTATTGCGCACTGTCATTAAAACATTAAGTTATTTCAGCAACTCTTGGTGGTATTTAAAACTTAAAACCACTTATAACATCATACGGTTCCCATTATCCATCAAAACATTAAAACATCACGGATCACTTTTGCTAATTTCAACAACAACAATAAATTTTACAAACTTTCTTTTGACGTAAATAGAAAGAAATTCTGTCTGTTGTAAGTAGCACCATCTTATTTTATGAACATACACGGCCTTATATAAATAATGAAGCCACGTTCATTTTAGCTAGCCGTGTTTTTCCATTTTTGGCCGTGATAACACGGCCAACACGGCCTTCTAGCTAAGACCCTGGTAGACATGTTTCTAGCTTGTCGAAAAGCCCAAGTAACAATAAAACTAAAGTTTTATCACAGTAATTTGAAAAATGCCGTAGAAACTGCCAAAGTTGCCGTAGACAGCTGTTACGTTCTACGGCAATTTTTAACGCCATTGCCGTCGATTGATTTCAGGGAAATTCGAGGCCTGGGTGCAGCAGTCTAGCTCACGACCATCGTGGAAAGTTAGGGCTTAGAACGGGACAAAGTCAACGACTCCAGCCATGCAGTTGGTACCAGCAGGATAGCGGGAACAGCACGCACGTGCGTGGTACTTAACGACCGTATTAATATGAAAACAAACGTACACAAAAATCGTTTATTAGACAAAAACTTCCAACCCATGCGCGGACACTTATACACTAAAATATCATGCAAACCTTATATATTCGACACTAATTCTTGATTGATTGATTGAATAAATTAGTTACATATGAAAACACAGCGAAAAAAAAACCTAGACAAAAAATACAATCGTCTCTGCATGAAAGAAATCTGTCCTTAGAAATTCTCTGCTCCATTCCTAGGTTTAGGAAGGTAGATGGTTGAGTACTGAAGCCACGTGTTTTCGCAATAAATCTCTTGGACAATGGAAAGCGAATCAATCGATAGATAATTTCTATTTGGACCTTAAAGAGAGATAAATATGCGTGTTAAACATGAATCATAATGACAGAATTTTATTCGAAAACTTTGGTTGATAGGGGTGCAACTATACCTGGGCAAAACGTTGTTGGTCGGATGGTTAACTAATCATGGATTTAACTGTGCGTGGGGCGTTTGAACACGAAATTACATAAAGTAAGTAGTGATTAACGAGCGCTGACAAGCATTTTTAACATGATTGTGGACTCGCATTTTGCGAATAGGTGGAAATTTGATTCAAACTGGTGAAAAATAAACAAGGAAACTGTTTTTCCTTGATATGTCTAGGTAAAACCAAAGTGTAGCTGTTTGGCAATTATATATCATGTTTCTTCGTGTAATGAGCCCTACGTTGTCTTCTCGACGTAGTGCTCTTTTTTGGCATCTGTATTTACCTTAGGATCAGACCCTTGATGCATATTATGCAAATTTTTGTTTTTCTTACTTTACATATTAAAGTACTATCTTATAAAAAAAAGTGAAATTTCGCAAAAAACTAAATATAGGACATTTAAACGGATGCTACGATTTTCGACACCGATTCAAGTTACATAAGGTTAAACCTGCTAAAAAACAGTATTTCGTGGCCTTTTTATACCATTTTGCGGTTTTTGACCGTTAATAACTCGGGATAGGCTTGGAAAACCGTAGTAGACATTGAAATTTTACTTTTTTTATAAGATAGTAATTTAATAGGTAAATGGTAAGAAAAACAAAATTTTGTGGTAACCAGGAGCTACTCTATAATGCCCCTATAGCTAAAAATGTCTTTATGGTATACCCTAACATTATTATCAATCTGCTACACTATATATGGAGCTCACTTTGCAAAGCAATTTAGATCTACGCCTTCTCTACCTTTAAATTTCAGCGCTTTTTCACATGAAAAAGACTGTGAGCCCAAAATTCACCAGATCTGACAAAGCCAGCAGAGTAAGTGTGTGACGTACCTTTATTACATCATTTCAAACTCATCGACACGTTGTTTGGTATTTCCCATTCTGATCTGTCTTAAAGTCTTGTATTTATCTCGGCCTGCACGAACATTCTCACCATGAAGAATATCTATTCTCGTTAGTTTTGAGTCATCTCTGGTTCCTTGCAGTTCACTTGAAAGCATCTAAAAACACAACACAGTTCAACTGAAGCTAAAGCCTATAGTTCGCATATGCCCAGCGATACCCCTACTTTACAACACAGCTGCTCACTCAGAGAGCCATGCTTCTTCTCCTAACCCTAACTCATACAGAATTGTTTCTGAAATCCATTTAGTTGAATGTCAGCATTTCCAGACCTGGTATCCATACTGAAAATCTGGTACCCAAATTCTCAAAATAGGAAAACATGCAACATTAACAACAATGTCAGAACAATTAACTGGCTATTGGCTGTATTGTAAATGTCTTCAAATTCCAGCTATAAACCAAATTTTGATCTAGGCAAGAAGAACAAAATCCATCACCACAGCTAGAAAGAGCGTGTTAAAATTAGTATAATTGCAAAGTTTGGTTGCAAAATGTTGTAAAATGCGGAAAATATAGTCCTACGAAATTTGCAAATTTTGTATTAATTTGTTTTACGCACGGGAAAATGCACCACTTTCGGCCTAAATGTGGTTATTTTTCCCGCGCGTAATACAAATTAACACAAAATTTGCAAATTTCGAAGGGCTACATTTTCCTCATTTTACAACATTTCGCAACCAAACTTTGCAATTTTATTAATTTTAACATGCTCTTTCTAGCTGTGGCGATGGATTTTGTTCTTCTTGCCTAGATCAAAATTTAGTCTACAGCTGGAATTAAACTATTAAACATGTGGAAATGAAAGTGGCTCGGGCAAGAACCTCTTGGGTATCGAAATGGGATACAGAGGTTTCGACATCTGGTATGCAAGATTTCAAACTGGTATTGTCAGGATACTAGGGTATACTGCAAATCTCGAACCCACCTTGAGCTGAGTTTGCACGTCTATGTTCTTAGATACTTCAGTTGTACGATCTAACTCAGTTTGTTGTTCGGCTTCTGAGGTGGTCTGCAATTCCCGACTGTCTTCCGCGCCTTCGGCCTCCGTGGCGTAGAGAACATTATGAGGAACCTCGGCAAGTTTTTTAAGATTTTCTTCCTCTTTGAGTTTAGTTTCTGCAAGCTATCGAGAAAGAAGATTTGCGATATTCACATATATGGATTACCAAGGTATTATTATATGGCAAGCATTACTTCCGGTGAAATGGTGACTGTGATTGGCTGAGAAGCACTTTCAGCGGTACATTTACATTATTTTCCCGTGGCGATCCATTACGTAAAAACGAACGCATGCATTTTAAAACAAAACAGCAAAACCAATTGAAAATTTGAAAATTATAATTTAATTTGTTATTAATAAGATATCTGTGAATGGTTTTAAGTGGAAAGGAAGGAATACATTGGTAATGCTTGTTTTCTTCGACCAAATGTGTACCACGCTACTAATAAGCATTTCAAATCATGCATTTCTTGTTTGTTTCAAGTATAAATGCCATAGAAATATAGCAGAGAAATATCGGACCTCGGTCTTTTTGTACAAACCTCGCCCTACGGGCTCGGTCAGTTCAAAAAAGACTTCGGTCCAATATTTCTCTGTGAAGACCTTGCGCTCGGTTAATAAGAAGTTATTAATATGGTAGTATAAATTATTGTGGTTATAATGGGGGAAATGATGAAAAGTGCATCAGTAATGATGGCTTTGTAGCGATAGATATAGTACTTGCGGCTAATACTAATGCAGATTTCTTAGAATAAATATCCTGATCATGGTGACTGTGGTTATTTAGGTATGAAGAGGAGAATCTTTTGTATGTTACGTAACACGCTCTCAAAACTAATGAATATATTTTTCCACTTGGATATAACTATATTCAAATTTTTAAATTTTTTATACGTTTCTCAAGCGGCAAACAAACTTTAAAAGTATGTTTAGTGCTTTATCTGTAAAACTGTGCTAAAATGAAGAGATTCTAGATGGTACGCCAAAGATAAAATTACGTCAGTAAATTTTGCTTATATTGCTGTAAATATAAGGCGTCAGTTTCATATCAATGGTAATTGTTTACTGATATGTTTACTGTTGATGCAATGGAAGTGTTGATAAAATATTGTATGAATTCATTTCTTCAAGTTGATCAATTCATACGAATTCAAATTGCTTTTCAATTAAATTTCGTTTCCTATTGGTCAATCGGTTCTGAAACGAAATTTAATTGGCTCATCTAAAAGTAACAGGAAGTTGATCAATTTTCTATCAAATGAATTGATCAACTTGAGGAAAGGAATTGGTGCAATATTTTATCAACACTTCCATTGCATCGACAGTAAAAAGGTTGCTAACTGTGTAAACTACAAAATAAAGCTAAAACAAAGTAATTTTGAGAGGAACGCCAAAAAGATTTTAGGTAATGGCGGTTATCTGAGCATTCTCTGGTGATGGTGACAAAATATCCAAACAAACAACCTACCTCTTCTTGCAGTCTTTGAGCCTCCTTTGCTTGTTTCTCGGCCTCCTCCTGGACACGTAGTACTTCTTCATTAACCTTCGAGAATTCATTTCTCTGTAATGATCATAGAACAAGATTAATTTTTGGACTGTCGACGACGCCCTATACGTTAGCACGGTGCCAGGTTATTCTCAGCAATTCCATAAAAACTTTCTAAATAGTTGAGACTAGCCAGAGACTATACCTGCTGACCAGCTGGACAGTATCTACAGTCAGGTCAGTGACTACCTACAGACTAGCCATAAGTCTAGTTAAACTGTGACTTACAAGTTCTTCTTTTTCTTGTGTTTCACTTTGAAGTAACAGTTCCATGCGGACTTTCTCTTCCTCAACTTCTTTCCGTTTTTCCTCCAGTCTTTTCGCTTCCTCTTCGGCTACCATACGTTTCCTCTCGAGTTCTTCAGCCGCTGCGGCAGATTTCGCCAGTTCTATTAAGATATAAAACACAAATCGTGAGCAACTACGATGAGAAAATTTCATCCCAAAATCTCCACCTGAACCCCAGCCCCCCTCAAGAAAATATCAGCACACCTTCTTGAGCTTTCCTAGCATCCTCTTCAAACTTAAGTAAACGTTCTTCGAGCTTTTTCTTTTCCAGTTCAGCATTTTCACGCTCTTGTTTCACTTTCAAGATCGTTTGTCTGGAGAAAACAGAACAGTCATTCAGTTTGTCTCGCATTCATTATAGTATTATCCAGGGACGTTTCAGGCCAAAATATATCAAAAGCACCATCATCCATTATCACCACGATCATCTTCACCACCATTGTCTCGCATTCATTATAGTATTATCCAGGGACGTTTCAGGCCAAAATATATCAAAAGCACCATCATCCATTATCACCACGATCATCTTCAACACGATCATCTTCACCACCATTACCATCATCATCATCTTCTCATCATCATCATCACTATCATCATCACTATCATCATCCTCATCATAATCGTCATCACTATCATCATCACTATCATCATCACTATCATAATCATCATCACTATCATAATCATCATCACTATCATCATCACTATCATCATCACTATCATCATCACTATCATAATCATCATCACTATCATAAATCATCATCACTATCATCATCACTATCATCATCACTATCATCATCACTATCATCATCATCACTATCATCATCATCACTATCATCATCATCACTATCATCATCACCACTATCATCATCACCACTATCATCATCACTATCATCATCATCACTATCATCATCATCACTATCATTATCATCACTATCATCATCATCACTATCATCATCACCACTATCATCATCACTATCATCATCACCACTATCATCATCATCACTATCATCATCACCACTATCATCATCATCACTATCATCATCACTATCATCATCATCACTATCATCATCATCACTATCAATCATTCTTGTCATGACGCATTAGGTAACTTTAAATGTTTTTTCCTATTGAAATAACATGCTCACACCCTAATGCTTCTGCCAAGTCCAATTGTTATGTGCTCATAACGCTTAATCTAGCAAATTTCCCGCTATAGTGATATTCTAAAAGGAACAATTGTTAGGGATACGTTACATCATCATCACTATTATCATCATCGTCACCATTGCCTAGAACAACTTTGGTTTGTGCGCTACATAATGGACTCATTATGTTATATCATCACCATCATCATCATCACTATCACTCTATAGATTTTCATTTTCAATGAACATGTAGTTTAATACTGTAGTAACACTGAATTATTATTCAATCGAGTGAGATGCCAACAAGATCTTGATATAATAGGAACAGCCATTCAGCAAAAAACTGCAAAACTTAGATTGATGGGCGGGGACGCAACTATACCTTCCCGAGAAAGGGCCTTGGCTCGAAACGTCGAAGTTCTCCTTGTATTTTTGAGGTAATTGCATCCCTATCAAGTTTCGTTATTTGGCAACGGTCTGTTCAATGCATACCTCTCCATTTGTTTATTATGTTTTTCTTCCCTCGCCTGCGCTTTCATTTGTTGTACTTCGATCGTGTCAGGTTTTCTTCGCCTCATGTAGAGCTCGTGGTTGCCCATGCATAATGCCAGGATACGTTTGTTTGTGCGAAGTCGTGGTGCGTAGAATACAAAATCCTAGAGCAGAGAAATTGCCAATAAATATTTCTCCTTCATGGTATTGGTAGTTGGAACTACATGTAGTTCTTGGTTTTTCGACAATGGTTAACCCATTAAGCTGCAGAGCTTCCCCACTGACGAGTAAAATCGTCTGACGTTAGACAAGTAAAACAAAATAAGTAGGGCGCACTGGGGCTCGATGGGTTAACTAGAGACATTGTCAGATTTTTAGTAAAATCGTCTGACGTTAGACAAGTAAAACAAAATAAGTAGGGCGCACTGGGGCTCGATAAGGTTAACTAGAGACATTGTCAGATTTTTTGGTTAACTAGAGACATTGTCAGATTATTTGGTTAACCCATTAAGCTGCAGAGCTTCCCCATTGACATTAAGCTGCAGAGCTTCCCCATTGACGAGTAAAATCGTCTGGCGTTAGACAAGTAAAAAAAATAAGTAGGGCGCACTGGGGGCGCATTGTGGCTCGATGGGTTAACTGGAGACATTGTCAGATTTTTTGGTTAACCATTAAGCTGCAGAGCTTCCCCATTGACGAGTAAAATCGTCTGGCATTAGACAAGAAAAAAAAAGATAATTTGCGGCTCAATGGGTTAAACTTTCCAATACTTTCCATGGGGGTTGTGAGCTAGACCGCTGCATCTACCCTAATTTTTTTCCACCTCCCCCACTATTTCCACCAAAATCCGGTCTTGATGCAAACCTTCAAAGACTCAAGGAGCTATATTTCTCGTACTTACTGGTGCTTTCTTGTCAATAGGTTTAATAACGAATTTCTTATCATTAAAAGAAATATTCCTGATGTCACTCCATGGGAATCCTATTTTTGGTGTTAGTCTAGAAGGGACAAATGTCAACAGTAAAAAAAATAAGTATCGATGGGCTAACACGTTTCAAACTACCGAACATGTACGATATATGCTGAAATAGTCTGTTACATGATACTATATGAAGTTACAGTACAAAAAACTTAATACCAGAAAGTTGTAGATTGAATGTTGTCAATATTTAATTATTATTTTGTGTTTCTTAATCGCCAGATACATTTAAAAAGGTTGCTAACTGTGTAAACTACAAAATAAAGCTAAAACAAAGTTTTGAACACTTTTCATCACAAATACGCAACAATGAAATAAATTGCCTCTTAATAGTCTTACTTGTCTTCTTTCTCATAGACATTTAATCCAAGTGCATCTACACCAAGCCACAAGCTAGTCCCTTTCTTGTTCTTGATTTCAAAATAACTAACGCCATACATTTCTAGATCCTGGGCAATTTTCAGATACTCTGTCATCGCATCTTCTCTACAAGACAATTTGACTTATTTATATCATGCCCAAGACTCTTCTCTCTTGATAAGTATAATTGTTAATCGTTTGGTGTTTCATTCACAGAGGACAAGAAGGATCCTGTTGAATTATTTGGGATTTGAAGAGTCTATGATGAGCAAGGGCCAAGGGTCCTATGCAGGGCCATCAAGAGGAGGGGCAGGGGGGGGGGAATTGCCCCGGGCCCCCGAGGTGCTGGGGGACCCTGGAATTAAGGCCTGCAGGAATGCTCATTATATAATAACTACAGTGAAACACGCAATTTGATTGGTCAATAGCCGTGCAGGATCAGGCTATCCTGCACGAGGAATTAAAATGCCTTAGCGGGATTCTCAAAATGTCATTGTTTCACTGTAGTTATTTTATAAAACTACTAGCAAAATGGTTTTCCAAGCAGGATTGTGTGATCCATGCACTTGGGATGTTGCTCGACTTTTGGAAAGCGTAAAAATACACTCGCCTGCGGCACGAGTATTTTTATGCTTTCCGAAAGTCTCACAACATCCCTCGTGCATGGATCACGCAATCCTGCACGGAAAACCATTCAGTATTCCTTTAGTACATACTTTGTGACATCTTTGTGTTCCCTCCACCATTTGACAATCCTTTCTTCCCACTCATCTTTTGACATTTTATGTTGTTCGTAGACACTAGGAAAAAAACAGATTATATATGTACAGTAGTTACCTTGGATTGAAAGTTTTCTCTACTATATCTACTTTACAGGGCACTAGATTTTGGAATTTACTATTGTCTAAAATCTAAATATCCTCTAATAATATTAATAGCATAAATTAGAAAACAGATTAATAGCATAAATTTTTACTGCTGTACTCAGTAGCTTATATACCAAGCTTTGAAGTTAATGTTTGCAAACTCGAAAAATGCGAGTAAAATTTTAGCCTTTGCTAGTAAAAAGAATTTCACTAGCAAACTTTTTTTTACACTTTTTGCTGGTCACAACCCCATGTAATATATTACTGTTTGTATATCTTATTTTATAAGATATTATTGCTGGGTGTGTATCGAGTGTGTGTGACTGATATATTTTGTATTACGGACAGGAAATTGATATCGCTTTCTGAAAAAAGTATCAATTTCCTGTGTGTAATACAAAATGACTTAATGACTGAAAAAAGGCAAACTTTGCAGGGCTATACTATCCGTATTTTACAACATTTCGCAACAAAACTTTGTAATATTACTAATTTTGTGATGCTCTTTCAAGCTGTGATGAAATTTTTGTCTAGATCAAAATTTTAGTTATACGGGGAAAGGTCCACTTAATGGACTTACCGATGTGGGAGAAGCCGATCACTTGCAAGAAATCCTGCCTTGTAAGATGAATCTGCATAGTCGCCATATTTGGCTTGGCACTAAAAAAAATATAAAATTTATTGCAAGAGGATATTTGACAGCCCAGGAAGGAAACAGTGGGCGAACAGTTCAATAACTTAACCCTTCAAGTGGCAATGTGCCCCCTGATGTGCCTACGTTATTATTTTACTCTGTCTAATGCCAGATGATTTTACTCATCAAGGGCAGACCTCAAAATAAATTGGGAAGGTACACTGGTCAGAATAACAAACAAGGGCAGATCAGTGTTCGTTACAGTCGATTTCACAAAACTTTGACCACAAATGTTCCGAACTTTGTTGCGAAGTTCGTTGCGAAGTTCAAAAGTACATAATGAGATTGACAAACCAGTTTGTAAACTATGCATTTGATTGGCTTCTTTTACTTCAGGGACCAATCAGGGACTCTGTTTACAAATTGGCTTGTGAATTCCAATATGAACTTCCGAACTTCGTGGCCGAATTTCTGGTCAAAGTTTCTTGAAATCGACTGTAAAATATGTTACTTACAGCATATGAAGCAAGAAGCACAGCTGTCTCTGGAGGACAATACACTTCATCAGTTAGAATTGCATCTTTCACTTGCAGAAAGAACAATCGCTGAAAAATACAATATATTTCTTATTTACACCAGGTTCAATGCGACTCACACATGAACATACTAGAGCTGTGCAAACTCAGGTTATTTTAGCTTGGCCGTCAAAACTCTGGCTCCTGCTCTGGCAAGGAAATTTCATATTTACTGTTGTTCCAATTGAAGTGTTGCTCAAATATTGATTCAATACATTACCTCGGGCTGACCAATTCATTTCATCAAGTTCCTCGAGATATTCATACACTTCCTAGTATAATTGTAAACTTCCTGTTGAATAGTTTGAATGAACCAATCACCTTTGTTGTTTGTGCAACTAACCAATCATAAATAGAAAGGAAGTGACCAGAAGTGACCAGAAATTATCAAATACTTGGAATTGGCTCTTTCACAGGAAAGTGTATGAGTATCTCGAGGAACTTGATCAAATGAATTGGTCAGCCCGAGGTAATGTATTGAATCAATATTTGAGCAACACTTCAATTGGAACGACAGTAAAAGTAGAAGCAGGCGAAAGTATTTCAGTGTAATTTCAGAATTTATTTTATTCCTTTTTGAGCTTTCTCCTTTACTTATCATTTATACATGCTTCGGTACTCCGGCGCAAAGCTCTGGACCATACTACTTTCGCAATCAATTTTGCCGCATACCTGTGTGACTTCCTGGATGAGTTCCTCGCTCACATCTTCTGGGAAGAATTTGGAACGAAACTTGAACTGAAATGGGGTTTCCTTTTTGATGTCTTGTGCCAAGACCTACAGGAATTTACCAATGTTAAGCTGTTAGATCTGTGCGGTTCCTGAAATTTCATCTTGGTTCCAGAGAGGGTTCGAATTAACAGTGTGCAATACGCACATCATTCGGACAAAATAGTGAAAATCACTTTTCCATACGATGTGCAAAAAGACTTGGGACTATTAGCCAATCTGTTGTCTTATAATTTATAAACAAGTGCTTTTGCATGCACACAAACAAGCGTTTGCGGACTGGAAGGTGTCAAATTTTAGCCACCATGACAGACAACACATGACTGATTAACCCATTAAGCTGCAGCGCTTCCCCATTGACGAGTAAAATCATCTGGCATTAGACAAGTAAAAAAAAATAAGTAGGGCACACTGGGGCACATTGCGGCTCAATGGGTTAATTAACTAGAGACATTGTCAGATTTCTTTTGGTTAACCCATTAACCTGCAGAGCTTCCCCATTGAAGAGTAAAATCGTCTGGCGTTAGACAAGTAGGGCTCAATGGGTTACTGCGGATTCAGGTGGACCGTGAAATGGGTCATTCCAGAAAACATCCATACCACCCCAATGGAGGAAATAGTAAGTTAACCCCCTACCCCCTTCGGATGTCCTATACATTTACTATTATCAGAAACAATTTTTTCTCCCCTCCCCCTCTGGACAGCAGAAATGTCCTCTTTGGGGGGAGTGTGGATCTTTTCTGGAACAACCCAAAGCAAAAAATTGTCGTGTTAGTTTTAACGGTTGCACAATGACATTTCTAGGCAGATTTTCAGACGTTTCTAAGGCGTGGCTTCAATGTTTGTTTTCAAAATTACAACAGTACAATGGTTAAATTTTGAAAATAAACGTTGAAGCCACGCCTTAGAAATGTCTGAAACATCATCGTGCAACCTGCAACCATTAAAACTAATGTAACAACTATTCGCATTTCACGGTCTTCCTGAATCTGCAGTAATGTTATGTGTTAAGTTTGTACATCAAGGATTGCACACAATGTTTAAAAAGTATTCAATTAATTAAATTATAGCAGTGTGATTGAGTAGAAGTTGATGAACAATCATGAACCTATTTTATAAAAATTTAGAGCCACATTTTTTAAAAGGTGCACATCAGTTTTTCTCAACTAATTCAAACCCTGGACTTCCGGTCTTTTGGGAGTGGAAGAACCTTGTCAGGTTCAGTTTCTGTATTCTCAAGAGAAGAACAATACATGCCTCCGGAAATTATGTCACCTTGGCTATATAGAGCCAAAATACAACATTTTAGAACCGAAAATATGCATAGTGATTATAACTAGAGAATATACTCACGATTCATATGTGGTTTACAGGTATAAACTATTATAAATTGGCCATTGAAAAAGATTGCGACTCTATTTTTACGACCATTACAATCATACAGAAACCAGGCTTAATACACACTACATTATTCTTACTCTGCCTATAACACCAGAAGATTTTACTTGTCAAAAGGAGAGTGCTGTCACTCAATGGGTATGGGTTAATGTTCAAATGTAACAAATGCAGTTCTTGTTGTGGTTCTAATAATAGTAACATTCCAAAATAGTCAAGCAAATTATATTTCCTTAGAACTTAGACCAACTTGCATTCTTGATTAATAGTAACATTCCAAAATAGTCAAGCAAATTATATTTCCTTAGAACTTAGACCAACTTGCATTCTTGATTAATTAAAGTTTTGAACATATCAACATTGTAGCTAATCTAACTGTTTTGCTTAAAAATATATGTTTTGCAAACTCATTTTAAATTTGGCAAAGTATTGGATCTGAAAGAACAATATTTCATCAGTGCAAGCATCGTTTGCACTTTCGAAAATCTGATTTATACAGATCAAAAGCTTTGTTAATTTAAACAAATAATTATGATATTTCTAGCAAACCAATTGCTGATATATAACCTGCTTTGGCATTTGGCATTTTGCAACACAAAGTAAGTTGCCTATAATTAACCAATCACAGTCCTTTGATAACTCAAGTGTAGGAAGTTATTGAAATGAAAAATTCATTAGAAAAATGTTCAAACTTAGAAAATAAATTTCTAGGGAAAGCTGCTATTGCCATAATAGTAATATTGTTTGCATGTATATTTTGACTGGAATATATTCACAGCAAAATATTGTGCAATAGTGATTTACATAATGTGCTAAGTAAGTGAAAATTAGATCAAACATATATATTTAATGCATAAAAAATACAAAATTTTCTCTTTTAAAAATACAATTTTTTCTTTCCCATCCAATAAAGTGTGTTCAAATAAGCACACCCTTTCTAAAAACTGCAGGAAGGAACGTATTTCAAAAGAATGGGGCCAAAGTTTCAGATTTGGGACCTCAAATTAAATGCCATTTTATTATATTATGCTGTATTGCAATTATTGTAATTCGAGAAGTCAATTTGATCTGCAAAACATGCTTGAGACATGAGGTCAGGTCCTGAAACACATTGCTTTGACACATGTTAGAAAAATAGGCCCGGACATCCCAAAATACGCTATTCAAAATAAATGCCATTAATCCTCAAATGGACGCCATTATTCAAAATTTTTCCCACACTGAAATGGCTTCTCATTAAATGCTAGTTAATATTTCAAAACATTGCATTCCTTGAGCCAATTTAGTAATTGACTCGAAATATTTTCTCCTGATTTGTAATTGTATACAAGTTTTGAAAACAAACCCACAAATTAAACTCTATACGACAAATTTATTTGGGCCTTTTATTATATTATATTTGGACGCATTCGGTCACAGCAAGGAGCTTGTATAATACCAATTAGTATTGGATTTTCATAAATTAAAAACTTGTACAGTACCTTTTTATTTAATTTCAGCCAAGTTACGAGACCTTTTGTATCCGTGTATTGCAAGCCGAAGAACCAAATTTCACGTAAGCCAATAGTTTTGACAACCTAAAAATTTCAGGACAATATACATAAATATGTTGTGGGAAAATAACACCGTGAATTCAGAATCACAATGGGAAACTATATTCGCATATGACTAGTAGGAAAAAATATGCGAAGCCAATTAAATTTATGGCCTTACCTGGTCGAAGAGTTGCTTGCCAGTTGTACTAGGTTGGATCGCGAATTCTAACTCCGCGTCCATCGTAGTCACACGCACATTTACCTGTCGAGAATATAAACATTTATTGGTGAACAACGTAGCCATTTTCAGTTATATATTCGAGACGTTCCTCGCGTATAATCGAGTTTATGATTCTGAAATGTTTTCAATACCAGGATATATTGAGCTAATCTTATCGCTTTTAGTATTACAAGTTCATAAATGGAATCGCAAATATAATATGATTTCAAAAAACTCACCGATTTCGGCATCTTGGCTGTCGAGTTTCAAACTTTAGGTTCCTGTACGAAAGATGCCAAACAAAACGCAAATAAGCGACAGGTTTAAAAGGGATATCACGGCCACCTCAACAGCCACGAACGCTTGGAAAAGTCGGCGAAAAGTCGTCCAAAATCAAGCAATTTCTATATGGGTACGAAATCGGGCAGTACCGAATTAGGCGACGTCTAAAAGGAAACTCCAGACGAGAATTTCAAAGCGTTTCAACAGCGACGCAACAAAGGTCTTTTGTTTCACAGACTTCAAGAATAACAACGTATAGTTCCATAGAAGTTTGGTAAAAGTATAAGCAGAAAATAAGGACAAATACCTGATAAATGGGGAATTTTCCACACGTCTTTCCTTGCCTAGCGATCGATTCCGTGAGTCAACCGCGAGAAGGGCGTGGTACTGGAACTAGATACGCTCGATTGAGCCCCTTCAAAATACCGCCGTCGACCCCAAATTTCCGTGCCTCGAGGGTATTTTTTGCCGACCGGAATTTATTCTCGCAAAGGATTTCTCTATTCTTGTGGAATCAAATTTGTTTAAAATTGCTCGTTCTGTTTGTTTTGTAATTTGTCATGGCGATTCTTGTTTGCATATATTTCAACTTAACACAATTATGTATTCTAGATTCTAGAATGATTTAAAAATCTTATTCAAAGAATTGACTGACATATAGGTATATTACTAAACACAACAAAAGGCTTATATTCCCAAACTATAAATTCAAAAAGTTGACCCAAATCCTAAGACTTTCTTCGTTTTTTTTAAATGAATTCTAAAATTAATTATGTCACTTCATCATTACGTCATTCGAATAATTTCTGGATTCTTCATTAAAAATGAGATCATTCCTTTTATAACAATGTGAAGAATTTCGAACGTTTTCTTTATTTTGATTTTTTTAACCGATTACCTAAAGCCCGCCTTCTCTTAATAGTAAACCCGTTGCCAAAAAAGGTCAGAAAGTTCCTGTAGTTTTTTGATACCTTGTCAAAACAAAGGTATCTTTATAGAATTGAAGTAGGTTGCGTAGGGGCTCTCAAAATATATTCTCCCTTCCTTGGGCTTGTATTTTGAGAGCCGCTAAGTTTTGAAGTTCCCTAGCATACAACTGCTCAGTAATATTATGCCTCGGTCAAACGAGAACAAGAGTTGCATGAGAGTCGATGAAAGTTGAGAGGGTACTCTCATATTTGAACCAGTTTGAAGTGTATGAGACGAGCGAGAGTTGCTCGAGGCATAACTTTGAGCGAGGCTTACTAGTATTAAACTTCATATCTATAGAGTATAGGTTCGAAATCCTTTTCCTAAGATGCCTTTAAAGGGGGTCATTATTTATGGCGGGGGGTGGCACCGAAGAGAAAAGGGTTGGGTAAACAAAATTTTGAGTAAGTAAAAGGTTGGGTAAATGAAAAACAAAACAACTCAAGGGTTGGGCAATAAAAATTTATTGCCATTTCCAAAGCATGACTCACTGAAATATTGGAGACTAAAAAGCAATGTCAATTAACAGTCATATGTCAATATACTATATGTGAATCGATTAGAGTCACTATCTTGATCACTTTGTTGTTGGGAGACAAGTGGTGTCTGTGTCTCCAAAGAAAGTACATGTGCATACAACATGAAACTTTATAGCTTGAGAGCCTGTTCGCAGGCTAGAAACTTTAGACTGTAGAAAATTGCACAAGCAGTTATGAAACTCATGTCACAGAAGTGGTAAAGGGACATGTGTGACAACTGAATGGTATCCTTTTGCAAAGTTTTTGGCCAGGGGTGGGTATTTATTTTTTAATTGATATTTGAGGTTGGGTAATCATATTTTTTTGACTTTTTAATGGTTGGGTCGGCAAAATTTTCGCGACAAAAAACATTTCTCTTCGGTGCCACCCGGCCCTTATTATTACAGTGCTGTAATAGTGTAGTCTTGCCTGACAAAGACTAAAACCTGGTTTACACTATCAAAGTTTCTGTGATCACAGTAGGAATTTTTGCATAGGTAAATTCTTAGTCTTGACGAATTTGTATATCTTAGTGAGGGAACTGGCTCCTTGGCCCACTGTTTAACACTGTCAGTTCCCTCAAAGGACAAAGACTGATTCTTAAAAACTTCGAATTAACCTATGCAAAATTCCTATTCCTACTGCGATCAAAGAAAGTTTAATAAATTAACCAATATATAAGGAGAATTTCAACGTAGGGCCTTCGAAATTCTCCTTATATATTTTCAGGTAGTGTATTTATTTAGTAGCTTTGCCAACTAGGACACGGTCACCACAACAGCATATGCCAATTACTGTGGGCCCTTTTTACCTAACCCACCCTGTCAATTTTCCCTGTGACTTTTGACAGAGTTGACAGAGTGTTGACTGTTTGCGTGATGTTACTCTGAGTGTATATCCACACCGGGCAGGCTTGAACCAAAGGAACTAGACTCAGTTCCGAAATATCGCATACTCGAACCGACCTGACCGCGTAGCTCAGTAGGCAGAGCATTGGGCTAGTATTCCAAAGGTCTTAGGTTCGAATCCCACCGTGGCCAGGCATATTTTTCAAGCCTGCCCGGTGTGGATATACACTCAGAGTAACATCACGCAAACATCTTATTCACCTTGAGTACATTACACCAACACAGCAAATTTCAAAAGTGTTGACTTTTTACTCTTTTCACATGAGGACTGGGTTCGAGTCATTGGGAAAGTTCTCACTGAGGTTTGATTGAACCTGTGACCTTAGACGTGAAAGGCAACCGAAGCCACAGATCCCTACCAACGAAAGCTTGTTCATTTTATTGGCAAGATTAAAGCTTTCAGTAAATTGTTCTCTCCAATCTAACCAGTTAGAGTGATAAAAACCTGTTGTGTTTGGTAGAATTGATACTTCCCATAACAGCTAAAGTTTTATGATATGCCCAGCGAGAGGATGCGTGGGCGATAACGTTCAGGTGTCGAAGGAAATGTGAAAACCCAACGAACCATCTTCACATCAGCGGGTGAATCGGTTTGTTCAATTATCTCAACAGGGAGGGAAGTAGTTTGATGCATGACTAGTATGAGAATGTCATAGAACAGTCAGACATTATAATTATGCTTGCAATTATTTATGTTTTCACATAGTATTAAAAATGCGAACTGGTTGCCTTTTTTGTGTACCATATGCTTGTCAACCATCAGTTACTATCAGAGTAAGAAAATTATGTTTATTTGTTCTACTATTGTTGTGTTTGGAGGCAAATCAATAGAACTACACGCTTAAGTCAAGAATCTCACAGCTTGCAACACAACAAGATGTGTTCAGTTGTTGATAAGTCTGGAACAAGTTGCTATCATCTTGTATAACAAGTTTGACGAGGCCAACACACTCGCAACAATAAGTTGTTCCAAACAAATCTGATATCGTCTGCACGTAACAAGGTGTTGACAAGTTGATGACAACAAACTCGTATAGCAACTTGTTACGACCACCCTGTATTAGTCGGTGTTGAAATAACTTGCAGCAAATCTGCTCCCGTCATCAATCTTGTATCAACAAGGGTGATAACAACTTGTTTTAAGACTTGTTACAACAAGCAGTGCGAACACATCCTGATATCGGCTTCACGACAACATTTTCAAGGGCACATTAACACCAGTCACTTAAGTGTCCGCGTTCCGGGGTGAGGTAGTTTTCCCATGAAGTTTGGAATCTGAAAGAGTCGAATCTTTTTAAACTTGGCGAGAGAAGATAGATAAAAGATGGCTGTAGAGTGTAATCAAGCTCTACTCTCCAGGACTAGAATTAAGTCTGGTACACTATCAGACTTTCTGTGATCACAATAGAAATTTTGCATAGGTAAATTCTAAGCTTTGAAGAATTTGTAAGAAATGTTTGAAGGAACTGACTCCTCAAAAATGTTCTTACAAATCCTTCAAAACTATATTGTGATCACAGAAACTTTGATAGTGTGAACTGACTGCAGGCTTTAAAAATGTTAGTTCCTGTCATAGATATGTAGTATATGTATTTGGTGGCAATAATATTAATCGAATTGAGTGGGGCAGTAATTTAATTGGCTTGCTCCTACAATTATAGCTGTCGATGTACTGAAAATACCGGCATTGTATATTGGTATATCGGTTTTTCTGTCATCTGATAATACAATACGGAAATACTGCACGAAGTTCCCGATGTTCGATTTTGTTGTACGTCAAACCGAGATACGTAGATTTTGCAATGATCTATGTTCGCATGGTATATTATGATATAACAATTCCCAAATGTGTAAACAGCTGGCAATATGGCTAAAATTCAATTCGAAATTGTCGCCGGCCATGTAGTTATTTCTACGACTAAACACTTCAATTAGTTAGGAATTCTCCTCTCTAATCAACACGGCCAAAAGACCGGTATATTTTATCCGGTATACCGATTCTGGAAATTTCTAATAAGTACCGAACACCATTTGCCAACGTTTCTAAAGTTAGCCGTAACACAAACTAATACAATGGTTACCCTAAAAAATGATAAAAACCCGGGCAAAAGCTCATCGTCACGAAGGTGAAAAAATAAAGAGCTATATAATTTTCATTTCTTGTCATTATAATTATATTTAATTTATGTCCGGTTCCGTGTTGTTGCTCAGCAACGATTCAACATAGCACGAGAGAACGTAGGTGGTGCTATTTTTAGAACAGGTATATAAACACTGGAGATTTCAATGTTTGGGTTATTAGTTTGATTGCATCTATTTGTGGGAATATATAGGCAAGAAGATAAAAGCATGAAGCTCTCTTGGTGAAAAAAACTAAGAATCAAGGGTCTGGTTCACCTACGGTTTGAGACGCAGGCCCATATGCCAAACTGTCAGACTTTGCCTGGTTGGCAAGTTATTTTACATCATTTATTAAATATTATTCTACACACATAAAATTCTCACGGCTCGCCAACAAGATGTATCGCACTGCTAGGATAAAGTGTATCATCTTGTAACAAGGTTGATGAGGCCAACAGACTCGCAACAAATTGTTGCAACAAGTCTGATATCGACTGCAAGTAACGAGTTGGTGACAACAAGCTCACAACAACTCGCTACGCAATCACAAAGCACTCGCAATCACAATGCAGTCGCCATGTTCCTTACGAGAGGCATTCGCCCCCCTGAACGTCTAAGCCAATTCAGCCATTTTCAATGTTTTCAGGGGGATGGCGGGCTTTCCTTATCGCACTGGCTAGGAACATGGCGGCCGGTTAAACCAACATGAAAGGCGCCGACACGACACGTTTTTATTAGTCGCGACACTCGCCGATGTCGATTCTGTTAAGCAATTTTCGGTCAGCGATTTTGTGTTTCTGACGGATGCAAATGATTGAATTCACACACAAAAGTATAGAGTCGCTTTTCAGAAGGGCCCAGTTCATCTGAAAACTCTTGCTTCACTACTGGGGCAAGCAAAGGGCCTGTAATGTGGACGCCAACGTAATTTTTTGATCGTTATGAACAGAGTACTTACATACAGAGGTCTCACTTCAGCTTAATTTAGCGTAAGGGATTTTTTCAGTCCGCCATGTTCTTAGCAAAGAGAGGCTTCACCCCCCTGAAAATATATTGAAACTTAATGTTTCAGGGGGGTGAATGCCTCTCTTTAGAGCACTTGCTAAGAACATGGCCGCCAGCCATTTTGGTAAAAAAACTACCTTACACTTTGAGAACGCAAGAATTGGGCATATCCAAGTGGGGCAAATTCGGGGCGGTTCTATACTTAAACTTATATAAACTTCAAACACGATGAAACGCGTTACTGCCCGTTTAAACAGAGGAAAAATCCAATAACTTCTAACTTTAACTTTACATCAATAATATACATCAATTATAACTTCCTATGTCCAGCTTGGTCTAGCTTGGGTTAAGAGCTAACAGCGATTTCGAAATAAGCAATGGCCTATGCAACGCAGATTTAGAGCTAGATCTATCGGATTTTAACTTGAAAAATAAATAGGTACACCTATTAAGGCCAGATCATAGTCTATATAAATACTTTCATTTAATAACGTTCAAACTGTCCTCTAAGCTATAAGGTCCGTTTAAACATGGTCATCAAAACTATAACTTTCGAGATTTCACTTGAAGCAAAATAATATATAATAAGTTATAACAAAGTTCAAAATGTGCAAACTGTCCTCTCTTTAAGACTTGGGCTTAGAGTTCGTTTAATGGCTGATTCACCGTAACACCAAAGCGAGAATGGCTGCATAAAGAAGAGACGAGATTCCAAGACGACTAGCAGAACTTGTTGTTCGAATTTTGGTCGGAGAAATGGTGCCATTCACGCTTTTTAAAGTTGGCTGTATACTGTGAGTTGGCGTGGGCTCTGGCTGTACTTGTGTTGGGTTAACTGCTTGGGTTGTCAGCGCTGGTGCGTTCGTGGCGCTTGCCGTTCTTGTCATGGCGCTGAAACAAATTGCCATTGAGATAACAAGGAAGAAAACTTTGCTTGACATTGTTGGACGTTGGTTATGTGGACGAGTTCGTTGTTGATTGTCTTCTGAGTTCTAAAGGCTCGTGAATACAAGTTCTCTGCTATTTATACCATTTGTTTGGGCGTTCTTTGCGTATTAACAATAGTACCGAATCCGTTCCAGTGATCGGAATGTTCCATTGTCATTTCATTGTTTTGAGAATCCCACTGTTCTCATGTCATCGAGTTACTTGTTTTGATATACAGGGTGTCCCCAAAAAAGTACCCTCTACAGTATAGAAATAACGTATTGTTAGAATTTGAATGCCTCAGCACTCTGCTGAACTCCGCACAAGTGCATAAAAGCTTGACATAAGTAAATTTTATGCATAAGAAACTGTTTAAGAAGCTTGCTTTAAATTCCCAAGAGTAGAAAATCGTGCGCTTTACAAAGATACTTTAATTTCTTAGTAAGTCAATATTTAATACATCACCCTGTCAATATTTTACGCATCTTTGCGTTCAGCAGAGTGCTAAGGCATTCAAATTCTAACAATACGTTATTTCTATAGAGGGTACTTTTTTGGGACACCTTGTACTGTATTATGTGACATTTCCTCCAATAGGAATGCAGGAAAAAGGATCCTCTGTCCCAAATGACCGGTTAGGGGCGGACTAGAATTAGAAAAGTGATGGGGGGGGGGGGGGGG